AACTGTCAGCATTACATTGTGTAATGTGAACCTCATGGCAAATTCCAGTATGTCAAATGTTGTTTCCCTTTTAGGAAGGAGTCCGCTTTTTTGTGGTGGATTGTCGTCCTGCAGAACAGTATAACGCTGGACATTTATCAACTGCTTTTCACTTAGATTCAGATCTGGTTAGTATAAGTGCTAATTAATTTTTTTGTGAAAAAGTAAGAAAGTACTTTTTTTCCTTCACTTTCTAAACTTATATACATACATGTCTCAGACTGGAAACGTTTTTCTTTCTGCTTAAGGAAGGAGTCTTTGCTCTTATAAGAAAAGTGTTGCTCCCAGGTTTCCTTTTCCTGGGTAGCCTTTTGGCATCATAAAGGGTAGATGAAAACACTGCAAACTGTGGCTTACTATTGCTCACCATTGTTATGTCAGTACATTCTAACCTTACAGCGAGCTATCTGATAGAGCACTTAGCATAGTGCCTTGCACCTAGTAAGTACTCTGTAAACATCAGCTGTTATTGTAATTGGGTAAGAATTCTATAAGCAGCCAGACATGGTAGCTCATGCCTGGAATTCTAATACATTGGGAGGCTAAAGCAAGAGGGTCTCTGGAGGCCAGGAGTTTGAGTTTAGCTAGGTAACATAGTAAGACTCCATCTCTACAAAATAAAATTTAAAATCAGTCAGGTATGGCCATATGTGCCAATAGTCCTAGCTACTTGGGGGACTGAGGCAGGAGGATCACTTGAACCTAGGTATTCAAGGTTGCAGTGAGCTATGTTCACTGCACTGTCTCAAAAAAAAAAAAAATTCTATAAGCTTTCACTGTAAACCATTTTTAAAATCATGAGTATTTATACAATCCATATAATAAACTATTAAGGGTAGTATCTGGCATGTAGATATACAGTTGTTAAAATTACCACCCTAGAGTCATTTCGGTTGAGGGGATTGAGTAAAGCGAATAATTAAATATTGGCAAAGATGGGTAGAGCTATTGGTAATGGAATTGAGACTGACAACGTTTAATGTTGTTATTAGAGTGTCAGGGATGGGAGAAATAGGAGTAAGATAAAAACCCCTTTTACTGCATATATAGTCTACCCTCTTGCTTCCCAACATGTCTGAAGAAGTTGATGCTGAGGCAGAAAGGGTGTTTAGAAGACTTAGGTGCTGGACAGGAAACTCATGGAAAATGGAGGTAGAAGAACTCAGAATATTAGATACCATTGGTGAGATAGGCCATTTTTAGCTTGTTCATATTCTTGTACCTTTTTCCTCCTTGATTTCTTACTTTAAAAATTTCCTGAAATAATTTATGGACACCTGAATTAAAATAAATTTCAAAGAATATCTCAAGTTAATTACTATTAACAACTTGCTTAATCCTGCAGACCTTTAATATATATTTAAATTTCTTGTTCTGCCACTTGTTTTTTTACTTAAGTACATGCTTTTTAATGGTAGATAGTATCCATCTTATAGATATACCATAATTTATTGCCTGATTGCTGTACACTTGGGTTCTTTTCTATTTTCTTGAAATCATGTTGCAGTTAATGTCTTTATACATATTTTGTGAACTTACATAAACATTTCTGTAAAATAGATTCCAATAAGAATTGTTGGGTTGAGGAGTGTGGGCATGTAAATTACTAGAGACCATCATACTGCCCTTTAAAAAGACTGAACCACCTTACATTTCATAACTAAAGAAAATACACCATCAACATTAATGAACATTATTATTCTTTATTTATTTTACCAGAATGAGTGAAAAGTTATAATTATTAATCAAGTTGAATATCATTTGTTGTTGTGTGCTGTTTATACTTTTTTGTTTTTTATAAATTGCTTTTTAATATAGTGTGTTCATTTTTCTATTGAATTTTCAATTTTTTTCTAAAAAAATTTTCTCTAGATAAAATAAAACATTTTTCTCTAGTAGACAGGTATCTTCAAGTAAGCTAATTTTCCTGTGAATTTTTAAGTTTTATTCTAATGTGTTATAAATACATTTATAAACATTTCTTTTCTCTTATCCCAGGGATTTTACTTATAGGAACCTTTTCATTTTCCTTTGTTTTCATGGTAGCTTTTCAAATGTTGAATTTTCTCCTGAAAAAATATTTTCAAGTTTTGCAAATGTATGTGAAACATGGCTTGCTAAGTTTTTAATTTCTTTTTAATTGTCTAGATGCTCCAGAATCCATCTGAGTTTGCACAGTCAGTAAAATCCTTGCTGGAAGCTCAGAAGCAGTCCATTGAGTCCGGCTCCATAGCTGGTGGGGAGCACCTCTGTTTTATGGGCAGCGGCAGGGAGGAAGAAGACATGTATATGAACATGGTCCTGGCACACTTTTTGCAGGTATGCTGACATCCATTATTTCCATTTTGTTTGGTTATTGCTTGGTTATTTTAAGAAATTCATATAGATAATTTTTTGTTTTCATGTACACAGTCAGATTTATCTGTATTTTTTTCTTTATAGCTTCTAGGTTTTGTGTGTTCCCAAAGTTGTTGTCTCCTCCAGGTTTTCCTCAAATTTTTATATGGCTTATTTTTTAAGTCTTCAACCACCTGGAACTTATTTTTGTGTAAGAAATGGGTTAGGAATCAAAATCAAATTTTTCCAGTTATCTAACCAGTTGTGCTGCCAATTTAAAATACTACCTTTTTAATATACTGATTTTTTCTGTATATCAGAATCTATTTCTGGATTATTTTACTGCATTGATCTTTATACCTGTTCATGACTATATATATGGCTGTATAACTCATTATACCATCTTCATTTTGAAATTGAATAAATGCAGCATACATGCAGGTTTATTCCTTACCCTTAGCCATCTTTCCTTTTTGTGTTTAAATGTTATCTTCTGCACAACTAACTTCTATTAGTGGTTTTTGAAATCTGTTCCTCTGCTTACTTTCAAAACCTCATTTAAGCATTGGTGGTATAGTGGTTGGTTGTTAGCATAGCTGCCTTCTAAAACTTCATTCAGTGATGGGTTTCTTTATAAAAATTTGTTGTTTATTTGGTATTATTTGATAGTTTATACATTAAAGTCCTTACCTCGATTGAAAACTATGGAATCAGGAAGACAGTATGGGTGGTTATTACACAAGCCACTCAACTTGTATTCATTTCTGTTCATGTTATATGTTAATATGAATCTGATTTGAGAAAATTAGTCTAAATACAGAATTCTTGGAAGGCAAAACCAGAGAAGGAACAAGGTATTTGGGAGAGGTATTGTAAGATAATTTTACAATTTATTGTAAAAAATTATTAAAGAGTTTAGAAACTTATACAGAATAATAAAAATAGGAACCCAAACTTATTTTACTCATATATTTACCTGGCTTATTCTAAAAATGCTTCCGTGTATTGTGAGAGCTGTCATACAGCAAGAGTTTGTAATATTGTGAAATTTTTTTTATTATTCAAGTTCAAGTCTCTTTTAATTTATGTGTTCCCTATAAAATGTATATGTTCTTTTTTCTCATTTTTCTTCTTACATATGTTTGTTAGAAAAACGGCAGTTAATTTGTCTTAAAGAGTTTCTCTGATTACATTCACGTGGTGTCATTTGTTAGGTTCTGTCCCTGGTATTTCCTGTAAGTGAGTGATTAATCTAAAGGCATGATACCTTGCCTTTTGTGTGTGTGTGTGTGGCGGGGGAGGGCGGGAGGTTCCTGGAGAAGTGTTTGCTTCCGCCAGGTGGCAAATACTGTACAAAGGTCTCTCTTTTTGTGTCTCTCTTTTTTGGTGGTTGTTCATATTACTTAAAAGTCCAATTATATTTTTAACAGTTTGCAAAATGGTAACGTTCTGTTATTTATTCTCTATAATTAGCTATAATATTTCTTTTTATGTCACTTTTTTATAATACAAAGGACACAATGTTTTGAAAGCTTTTAGAAACCACTTTGATTATATATAAAATGCCATTTAACTTATTTTGGCTTGACTGTTGTATTATTTGGACTGTAATACAAGTAAATCACAGTCTTGTTAATAGCCATGAAGTTGTTCTTTTCTTTCCACCCAAGCATTAGACCTTAAAATATATAAAGTAAAGTGCCAAAGTCCAAAATGTCCAAGAAAAAAGGTCCAGGAATTTTAATATATAACCATATGTTGTGCTTGTCAGTGTTTTAGAATTATCAGAAATGTTATTTAAATTGCATTTTTGGAATAATTTAAATTTTATTTTCCATTATAGAAAAACAAAGAATATGTGAGTATTGCCAGTGGAGGATTTATGGGTAAGGTTTTAATTTACTAATTTCTTTGCCTCTA